GACACCCTGGCGTTCCTCAGGTCTGGGCAACACCCCAAGCCCAGAGCATCTGTGGGCTGCACTGTGCAATCTCTGACCAAACAACACTTCTACAGTACACGCAAGTTGATATCCAAGCTTCCTTTGCATTTCGATATCAACGCAGCTTCCAAAAAAGAGGGCCCGACAGCTTCTGCAGAAGCAAATAGAATGACCATTTTATCCCAGCGTTGGAAGGGATCTGAGCCATATCCATATTTGGGATTCCTGACCCGAAACCTAGGGCAATGTGTCCACCCAAACTTGAACACTAAGGACTAAGGGCCCCTTTTCTGTGGCGGTCTTCTCAACAACAGAGACGGCATGGCGAAGAACCAGGCCGGATAGGGCATTCTTTCTGGGGAGCTGACATTCTAACATAGGGTCTGCAAGCATGCTTTGGAAGCACTCTGAGTCAGGTGAACCACCGAGTCGTCCAAACGAGCAAGGACTTCTCCAAGTCCTTGAGATGCTTTCACCTGTGGGTCAGAAGCCGGATTCTGCAAACACAGTGCGATTAAGAACCAACAGTTCACCCCAAGAAGGAGAATGTCCACAAGGTAGGAAAAGGTATAGTTTTGGGTAGATTGTCATATGTCATTCTTGTTTTGAGTATATAGGTAGCTTTGATGATTCAACGCGGCCTCTGCAGGCTGGGCAACTGCTTCCACCGATGATGATGGCTTCGCCTTGGAGTCCGCTGATAGCAGCTTGGAACCCTGGCCTCTTGATTCACCTAAACGTCCACCCAAACAGAAACAAACACAACGGGCAATTCTTTGAGACGTGTATAGGTTCAGGATCAAAACCAAGTGGCGCAGCGATTGTATTGAAGAAGCTCCAGAAGCCATGATGATTCTTCATCCATGGGATCACTGCGCTCCATGGGAGTTTTTTTGCGAAAACATGAGTCAATGATACTGTTAGAACAAAAAAGGCTCCGGTTGAGGCATATTCTCCCTCATAAATGTTATAGAGTGCAGGGGCCAGGCTGCCAAAACCACGTCTTGAGCCCTGGGAGGTTTCAAAGCCAAAACTTACACCACCATTCCTTCGATTCTTGAGACCCAAACAACCATTGTTCATTGATGCTGACAGAGGGTAACTCATCAGAAGCATTAGTGCCGTCATCGTTCTTGAGTACGAGCTCAGACTTGAGTTCGGCAGCATTTTTGAAGACAATGGTGAGGGATTTGGTCACCTGCTCCAAGTCCTTGATCAACCTCAGCGCGAATAGACTGGAATAAGTATAACACCCTGGCCAAGAAAGTGATGGCTGACGGAAAGGAATCTGAAGAACAATAATGTTGTAGGAATGGTACTCCTGGGTCACCACATTATGGCTCCCCCCAGCTTCAATCTCAAGTTTGCCCTGCATGGTGACCACCTGTAGCATTTTGTTATGCAGGCTGTCCATGAACTTGGTCAGATCTTGCAAAACCTGCCGCAGGGGAGTGGGGCACGATGGAAACAGGTTATTGTTCATGCAAGATTCACATGTCCTTGAGCGACCCTTTATTCCAGAGATGTCAATTGTTTCCAGTCTTTGAGGGGTCAAGGGGTTATATATGGCCTTCGCACACATCTTCTCTGGCTCAGGCGTCAATCCATTCTCGGTAATCTCCAAGAACTTGGCAGGGTCTTCAAGGGACCCTGATGCCACTTCCTGAGTTATAGATCAACCATGGGCCCTGGCAGTTTGGTTAGGAGGGTTTGCATGTACACCCCAAGAAGGACTCCCTTATGCAATCGAAGGTCACCCTTGTCTTCGATTTCTGTCCTTTTGTGTGTCTCAGAGACCCTGATGGTTTGCTTGGTGTTTGTTTCCACAAAGTACTCCTTCACTGAAGAGTCATACTTCCAAACCCTGGCAGGGGCATGGGGCACAGAGATTGGGATTAGGGTTTCATGTCAATGCACACATGTTTGGTCATGCACGCGCGTTAAAGCACACCAATCTTATAAGCATGGAGGCAGCACCGCACCAGGGCACTCGGGAACCGCTCGCAATACTCCACGATTGTCTTGATCGTATCCCTTGGCTGGATGGGTCCGTGCTTTCGTAAAAAAATATCGGCTGATCGATTCATACTGCATGCGTCGCGTTAAATTAAGACTATGGGCTTGCTGAAGTCACCGCTTTTCTCCATCCGTTCACGAGTCATCCACTGACCCAAGACTTCCTGTTCCTTTGAAAGCTGCCGTTCACGGACAAGGACAACTCGAGCCCGAAACTCTTCCTTAGTTTGCGCATGTGGTACTGTGTGTCTGTTTGTGCTATAGCATACGGCGCTTGAATTGTAAACGCATAAGCCAGTTTAATTTGGCTGGGCCACGCGGATTTTTTTGTGATGCTTGTTGTCGACCCCGACTTTTTGCAAGGTTTCGACGAGAGCGATCTCTAGCCATTCGCGGTCTTCGCCACCATTTTTGTATTGCTCTCGGGTGGCTGCGTCTACATGACTCTTGCCTGAAGCCTTTGTCTCACACATCCTCCTCAACCTCATCCTCAACGCATCATGTGAGATCGCCCGGGTCCCATTGGGAAAGCGCATCAGCTCAGCATCAGAAGGCTTGCGTTCCTCTTCCTCTTCCTCTTCCTCCCTACGTCCTTCAGTGGTCAGGCTGGAAGAACGGGTTTCCAAAACTGTTCGACAGGTATGTTCAGCCGAGGAAGGTTCCTCGGCAGATGTTCTCTTGGTTCCTGGTGGGGTGATCAGGCTTTGGTGTGATTGGTCTTGGAGCTGCTTCTCCAGTGCTGAAATCCTGTCCATGGCCATGCGAAGTAGATCCATTTCAGGGTTCTTCACAGTGTTTGGGACAGCAGGCGCAGCAGCAGGTTCAGGATCAAGGCCAGTAGCAGGGCCTCCAGACATTTCACCTCCAAAATTAAGACAGCGCTTCACCTCACTTGCAGGCTCGATAGGTGGAAGGGCAACTGGCTGGGGTTCACTGACATAAGCTTGGGGAGGAGCAGCGCCAACTGGCAGGGGCTCGGGCTCGCTCACCAGAGCTTTGAGAGGTGGTTGGGGAGGGGCAACGGGCATGGATTCACTGACAGGAGCTGCAACCCTTGGTTGGGGAGGCATCGGTTCACTGACATGCACGTGCGCAGCATGGTCCGGCTTTGCAATCTTCTTGTATGGTGAAATCTTCTCAGCTGATTCTGGCACTGATCTTTTTGAATTGTCTCCGTTTCCACTCTGCTCGCACACACCTGTATCCATGGCCTCCAGAGTGGTCTCAAGGCCAGGCTCAAAGTCAGGTTGGCTCTCCTCCCGCGGATGGATGCACAAAGAACAAAGACTTTTTGAAACAGAGCTAACATACACCAATAAATATGATGTTCCTTTTGCAGGGCCCTTGCATGGTCAAGAATGACAGTGGCAGATTCCATGACATCTGAGGATTCATCTGGAGATCCTCCACAGCTACTGGCTGCGCACAGGGGAACAGCGCTTCTGGCTCCTTGGCCGGTACAGTAAGGCGAAGCAAGTGGAACAATTGCGGCCAACCCCCCAACAGAACTGAAAGTGTTTTTGATCCACTATAGTGCATTGGAAGAGTCCCCTGGCATAGTCTCAGCTTCAGCAACCATGGTGTCAGACATCTCTTGTTTCACCTCCATCTTTGGCTTGAGCAGTCCAGTGGTAAGGACCTAGGAGAAAAAACACATGAAAAACACTGTCAAGGGACACATGAAAAGATTGCTTTTGCCTACTCCAAAGGTTTCAAGTCATGTTTTTGCTTTTTTGCTTCATGGCGTCTCAATCCAACAAAACTCACATGCAGCTTAAGGTTCTGTTCCGGGGTTCTTCAGCATTGCCTTTGCCTCCTGAAGTTCCAGCAAGAGACCTCTATACTGACCCTCAACAAAATAGAAACTGGGGTATATCGATCAACATTCTCCTGAATGGACTGCAGAAGGGCTGCCCGGGAAAGTTGTGAGGGGTCAGTGGTGAGAGAGAGGCCAGCCATGTTGGCACAAACTTCTGCCCCGGTGACCAACTCACTGCAACTCCACTCTCGAGAGCGGAGCGAGGTGCCACGCCCACTTGCTGCCTCCATCGGAAGATCGAAGATCTTGGATTGGTGACCTATGGTTTCTTGCCAGCACTTGTGAGTTCGAAAAGCGCATCGGTGTGAGGCGCAGACAGAATGATAGATGCAGTCATCTTCGCAGTACTGTACTCTGAAATCATGCATTCATGGACATGCTGAACAAATTCGATAATGTTTTGCAAATTTCCGTGCGAAATCACACAGAGTGTGGCCAACCAAATCCAAAAGCCCACTCGATTGACCTTTTTGGGCATGCTCCATGCCTCCTATAGAGACCCCCCAAAACTATATATTATTGATCATGGAGACCTCCAAAACAAGGTTGGGGGAGACTTCATGGGAGACACCCCAAAAGGCAACTTTTTTACGTCGATCGAACGGGTAGCGAACGCCTTTTGAACGCCTTTCGAACGGGTACGGGTTTGAACGGGTACGGGTACGGGTTGGAACGCCTGAAATGTTGCCTTTTTTACGCCTTCAAGTCGGGTTCACACGGGTTCGAACGGGTTCGAACGGCTTCGAACGGGTTCAGAAACAACACATATAGACCATAACCCTTTCTTTATTCAGGTTTGACCACTTTCTGCCCAGTTTACCTCTGGGACCCTCTGGGAGACTGTGCCTTTGTCCATTGGGGACAAGTGAGGTGGACCTTCGACCACCTCCAATGCCCTGTAGAAGATGAATTGATGGGCCTGTCCCCCACTAAACCAAGAAAGACCAATAGACCCCAAGAGGCGATTTTGGAGGTGGCCTTTCTACATGTGTTAAAAGCACCTTTTAGGCTATAGAAGGCCACCTTCAAACAATTGCCTTTTGGTGGATCCTGTTGGAAACCAAGCTGAAGTTGCCCGGGCCATCCTTAATTGTAGGGGCAAATTTGGCTGGATGCAAAGCTGGAAACTGTACACACGTGCAACTCATACATGTGTCGGGAACACTTCTCGCCATCTCTGGGGTAGCTTCAGTGAAGCGTTGCCTCTCAAGTAGACAAGAACAGGGGTCATTCGAGCATCACTCCAATCAACTTCACTGTCCCACCCCATTTGTTCAAAGATTAATGGGCCTTCCTTGGGCCCTGGTGGGTGCTTGGGCATTCCCTCCCCTCTGGTTTTCAGACGTGGCATCAGACGCACAGCTCGATGTCCAAATCGCACCGGATATACCCTGAGCGTGAGCAAAGGAGGGGACCAGAATCAAATTCACGATATAGGGTCCTGTAGATCCTTAGTGAAGAGATTTGCATTCAATCCCTTCTATACCATATAGATTGGAAAGGCCCTTTTCAATTGCTCCACTGGAAGTCGAAATATAGTGATTACCAAGAATGGCTGGCCAACAGACCAAAAAGGGCAATTGTGTTGAAGATTTTGGCGCTTTAAAAAGGGTACCAACCTTTTAGGGTTTGTTGGCTCTTGTTGGCTTTCCTTTGGGAACATGTTTTGGGGCACCCCATTCAATGCGATCACTCTATAGTTCCATACAGTTGATCGATTGTGTGTGTGGCTTTAACACCAGAAAAACCTTTTGTTGACACATCAGTCACATCAACTAACTTACCATTCTCTTGGGTTCCAACAGAAAAGCACCCCTTAAGTTGAAAGTTGGTCCACATGGACGTGTCAGGAATCAAACACGTGCTAACTCGAGGTCACAAAACAACAGCGCGCACCCCTAAGCGTGGTCCAGGTTCAAAACACAACCAAAAATGGATTGAACAATCCCTCGAAGTGTCTGTGTTGACTTGAGCTTGCTAGACCCCTTCCATCTCATGTTCCCGTTCTTGTCCTCGTACCGCACTGTCGACTTTTGGTCTGGATCCTGTTGTGCCCGGAAAGCCTTGGCCTTCAGCTTGCCAAGATTGAACGCAGCAGCCCACTTGCTGTTCGAGAATCCTTTGTGACGCTTCGGCGTCGGAGCACCATACATGCCCATCCACCAGCCAAACGGGTAGACCTGCCGCTGCATGAGACCAAAGGAGTTCAACACTAAGAGGAGAGATCGATTCTGAATTCTGCTATATGCAAACTAAGCCCTTTCAAGGCCCCCTTATAGATGTTTCCTTAAAGCTGCTCATGGTACAGCATGCATGGAAGGAACATGAATTTAAGATGCAACATGTATCAAAATGCTTCATGCACACTAGCGTACCCTGTAGCCAAAAGACTGGAACTTTCTTTGCAAGCCAGCGTAGTTTGTCATAGTACTCCATGTAGGAGCTGCCAGGCTGCTCTATTAGAAAGGTCCCACCCCTAGCGACAACCAGGAGCGCCAGCAAAACGGACCTAAATTGACAGGTCCCCCATTGGTGTTCCCCTTTAAGCAGCAAGCATCACCTCGATCATTTTAGCTTGCTTCAAACATGCACAGCCTGAGTATTGTAACGCAAAGCCTTGGGCAGCCAAGGCACCTGGAGCACATGGTGTTTCCATCGTTCACTGATGCGAGAGAAGGATTGCCACTTGGAAAAGCTATGGATCTTCGTGAGGTCCCGGCGTTTACTGGGGTAAAAGTAGAGCACACACAAGCCAGAAGAGTGAAAAAATCACACTCTGCAGCTTGGAGAATGAGCCAGATGCATATCCTTAGCAATTACACCATTCTTCACCACATCAATGTCACACGTTTAGCTCACCAGAAGGTTAGAATATGTCCATGTTGTGTTGTTTTCAGGTGAAGCCTTCAAGCTGTATATATATAGCGCAGGGTTTCCCTTCAAAAGAGGTTTCCTCACCAAGCTATATACTTTCCATGATTGAAATATAATTCCTCACCACACCCATCACAACAAGTTTCGCCCAACCAGAAGATGACAATATATCCATGGGGTTCTGTTTCCCAGGTGGAGTTGTCGTGCTGTAGTCGATGTCGACACGTGCCGCAGGGTACTCATTGGAAATTGCCCTCCAAACATTCGCCACACCTGCGAAGTACTCGATGTAATTGAGCTCCTCTCACGGCCGGTCCAAGAGAAGTTGAGGACACTTTAGAGTTTTTCTTCCCTTCTCGGTTCAGTGACTCTTTCATGGCCTCATGTTAAGGGCAGTCATACACCTCTAGAGGGAACAATATAATAACAGCTGATTCCCATGGTCTTCTCGCACAAGCGCCTATAACCCTATAGCCATACGGGCAAACCCTGTCCGACGTGAATGATGGCAGGTTTGTGCTGAAACATACCAGGATTACGATGGCCACGAATGCCTCCCGATCCAAGACCAGGAGAAAACAGTCAGAGTTTTCAAATGTTGTCAAAAGCCTTCAACCTCATACCTTGTATTGATACGAATAACCAACTGGACTTGAAAAACTCAGGAGCCTTTGGCGCACCCAAGCTTTGCAAGCGATATACCAAAGTATCCACATCGAGCGGCAATGCCATGATGGCACACGTTCGTCAGATATTGTCGACAGAGACAACACCCCAAAGAAAAATACACATGGGGGATGTCATGATGTCCTGGATTGAAACCATGTTTGCATATATGCTTGCGCTGGAGATAAAGGCTGCAAAGAAACTCAACATGCGACAGCACGATGTCCATTGGGGTCCATAGTTTCAAAAGAAACACATTTGGTGGGGTTGCACGAATGAAAAAAATCAGCATGCGCTGATGCACACTGCTGTGGCTTGCCAAGGTTGAAATTCAGCCGGGCACACCATTCATGACAAGGCATGGTGTCCCGTCGAAACGCCGCTTCCGGGCCATCGCAAAGTAGCACCTGCATGCATGCATTTGCAAACATGCATGGATCGATCGAGGTCTACAGGGTAAGCATCCACATGTTTTTGACTCGAAATCTATCGGGTCCTCAGTTTCTTGTCAGAGGAAAGGAACAGTTTCATACTCTCACGATCTCAACCCACCATCGCACGTGCACATGTATATGCTTGTTTTTTCTTTGGCATCATGCCGCCAAGCTGCAAATCTTGCTATGCTTGGCAAATCCCCAAAAGCATGTGCAGCGCACAAGACTTCACATCGATCGATAATTCGTCGATCAGCCCCGAATTGAACCACGGTTCGCTGAAACAGCATGTATACTATCATGACAAAACAGAATCATCAGCTGGGCTGCTTTCACCTTTGCTTTAACCATTCTTTCGCTTACACAAACATGCATATGACATACGGGCGCTGCAAAACACATTCGGTATAAAGCACACATATTGAACGAGTAAAAGTATAGTTTGGTGTCGCCACTTCTCCATCAATTGCAGCTCACGCTGACTCCAACTCAGCCTTCTCACGCTCAAAGATGGTAAGCGCAGAGGCATGGGCATTGCCAAGCACTAGCTTGACTTGGGCAAGGGCTCTGTCCTCAGGATCACGAGGCTCCGGTAGCTCCAAATACTGTCGCGCCTTAGCCAACAAAAGGCCATGGTGCACACGCACAAGATTGTGGCACAGGCTCCACGAAGCTACAAGCACTGAAAATGACACACGTTGCTCGATTGTTAAGGCAAAGACCCACAGGTTGGCCAAGATGATGTTGGTGCAGGCACAAGGTGTGCTTTTGCTGAAGTAGCATACCTGCCGATTGGAGCTGTCCTTGAGGCCTGCTGCATTGCGGGACCAGTAGACTGACTTCTGCAGAGCCTCGCTCACTTTGTCATCGATCTGGTCAAGCGAGTGTGAGTGCTTCCCTTTCATGCCCAGCTCACCTGATTTCCAGCAGCGCCTCAAGCAGCCAAGAACAGCTTCTCGGGCTTCTTCAAGTAAGCCAGCATGCGCAACCTCAAACGCAGGCACTGGGGGTGCCAGATTCCCTGCGCTGGCTTGCACTTCTTCTTCCTCCAGTGGCTCGACACGGGAAGTCCGGCAAGACGCGGCAGCAGGCCGCTTTTTCACTGGTGGCCTCACCTTCTTCTTTGGCGGCGCCTTCTTCTTTGGTGCTGACCTGTTCTTTGGCGACGCCTTTGCCTTCCGAGTCTTTGCCTCGGTGGACTTTGCCTCTTTCCAGTCCACTGTGGATTGAGAGTCATGTCCTTCCTCGGCATCAGCTTCCTCTGGCTCTTCTGCTTCAGCAGCCTTCTGTCCTTTCTTGTCCTTGCCACTGCCAGCTGCTCTGCTCTTGGCCTTTGCCGCTGCCTTCCCTTTTGCCTTTGCCTTCGCTTTTGGTTTCTCTTTCGAAGCCTTGCCCTCAGAAACCTCCTCTGCGGAAACCTCCTCAGAGATGTGGTTCATGGTTCTGCGAATCATTGACTTGGCAGCTGTTCTTCTGCTTTTGGACTCAGCCTCGGCCTTGGCATCATCCAACTCACTTCCATCACCCTCCTCCTCACAGTCTTCCCTGCCCAAATTTTCTTTCTGGTCACCCTTCCCCTTCTTGCGCTTGTTGGTCTCCTTTGTATCCTTCTTTTTCTTGAGTTGCTCCCGTCGTGTAGCATAGCCTTCACTTGCCACATCTGGGAAAGTGTGACCTTTCACCTCTGGCAGTTCAATCTTCTTGCGCGAGGCATCCCTGCGCTCCTCCACCGCCTCTTCCGACACACTAGGCTTCTCAGCCTCCTCTGCAACCTCTCCAGCATTTCTCAGTCTCCTCCTCTTCACTGGGACATGCGTGGCATCACCTTCAGCCTTGCCACAAGCGTGGCCTTCCACTTTTGACTTCTCCACCTGCACACCCGTGGAATTTTGCCTTCACCTCAGACAGGGTCTTCTCTTCAGCCTTGCCACAAGGATGCTCTAAGCTGCATGACAATCGGCCATATATGACTATAATTGCAATTATACCTGTAAATGGTCAACCTGCGAGTGTTAACCTTTGCCTCGCTACACACATGTTGATCGATATCAATCATGATCAGCCAGTGCACTTCGCAAAGTATAGGAGAAAAACTTTTGAATGGAACATGTTGCAAGGATCAAGAAAGCACGTGAAAGCAAAGTTCTCACGGCTGAATATGTTATATTCAGATCCATGAGTCTTGTTTGGTTTAAACTGTCTTGTCAGAATGACTGTGTGATCCATTTTGTTGAGCACATGCACCCAGCACAGGTGAATTCAACTCATGCATATGCAGCTGCGTGTGCACGCACTTGACCCACATTTCGGATCGCCCCAGCCAGCCTTTCTCTCCGAAGAAGCATGCATTGGGGCATCCTGCGCAGGTGCACCAGAAGCCATTGCCACTGAAGAAGACTCAGGCGCTGGAGAGCCTTCTTTGCGAGCAAGTCCATGATGAATGGTGTGTGAATCCAATCTTCAGGGAAGGATTGCACTAAGGTGGAATCATTGTCACCACATTGAGGTAGGGAGTCAGGGACCACGATGGGCATAGGTTGTCCTCATCTACAGTTGTTTAAGGACACATGACACATCACTGATCGAAACATATGACTCTCAGCAACTGCACGCATGCTCATAGGGTGACTTATAATTGTTTTAACATAAAACCAAGCAACCTGCAGCGTGCGGAACTTGGTGGTTCTTCCATCCAACATTGCTCATCAGCTCAGACCGCTGCTGCCTCATCATGCTTTAAAGGTTGCTTTCAGCGGGCTAAGGCTTTGGATGCATGGGTGGATTTCTTTGAGGGGTACTGTTCACAGGCCTTGCTTTCAACATTCGCTCTCACAAGCCTTATGAACACAAAATAACCTCAACAACTCTGCAGCTGGATGGGCTTTCAAGGCACAGAGAAAGTTGAGCAAGTAGGCCGGCCAACTCGTCCTTGAGCTCGGACACGTTGCCTTCATCGTCGGAAGAAATGCACTCCACAGCACCCATAGCCGTGGCCTGAACAAAAACTTCCAAAAACATCCAAAAACAGAAGCATTGACACATGCATGTTCTATTGCAAGTGCAGATGAAGGGAATGACGTGACCAAAGTCAGGACCTGCCTTGGTGGGGTGAGATGGCAGGCCACAGGATGAAGCCAAGTGCGGATCCTGGGAGTCCTGCCATATAGGGGCTGGAGCTCAACAACCAAGATAGTTGACTTTACCAAACTTTTTCCTCTCAACAACATTTGCCTCAAATTTCAAACAGCGCTCTCCTCTACTGGGGCTGCAGGTTCTTTGAGCTCCGAGGTTGGATTGCTTGAGGCTGCTGTGCTCTCAGGCTGCACGAGGTCAGGAAGGGCTGCAGGTTCTTTGAGCTCCGAGGTTGGATTGCTTGAGG